CACCCCCCTTGAAACATCAAAATTTGTTGGACGTCTGGCACACCTTCAACGTATAGGCCTACGTATAGGGTATCTATTGCAAAAAATTCCAGCACTGTAGGAGGACTCCCCTCAAAGTAGTTCAACACGGCAGAAGTGGGTTCGGACGGACGGACAGATGGATTCCGTCCCCCAAACCTCTTCTTTTGATTCAGAAAAAAGGGCAGTAAAAAACCGTTTCTTTCGCTGAGACCATTAATTAGAATAATAATACGAGATAAAACTAATCCCCCCCCCCTTCGCGTCGCCTCGTCGCCCACTTATCTCGAAAAAGAGTCGCGCGAGGGAGTTATAGTGTGAACAAACCAATTCATTTCGATAAGGCGTTTCATTTGAATACCATGAAGGGTAGAACACGTGGTTTACACCCCCCCCCCTCACCGCGCTACACGCCCAATGTGCATATTTTAATAAGGGGTCAGACAGTTAATAGAAAACAGTTCCTTTAATTAGAATACCATGAAACATAAAAGCGCTCTGCCTCCCATCCCCTCCAGCCCAATCTCTAAAGAGTTGCTCGAAACAGTAGAACGGACGGACGGACGCAAACAACAGCACATTTAGTGGATTGTTCATTATTTAGCGGCGCTTAGCAGCGGTATCGCATCGCGTCGCCTAGCCGAGTGCAGAAAAAAGGGGGCACATGACACTAAGTGGAAAGGTGGCACGGGAGGGAGAAGAAAATGGCGAGTAAGTGGGTAAATAGAAAGGAAAGAACTCGACCAGAGAGAGCGGAGAGAGAAAGAGAGGGAAAAGAAAGATGGCGAGGGGTAAAAGGGTGTGAAACGAATGAAAAAAGTATGAGAGAGATTAGGAGGAAGATGGTAACAGAAGATGTATGGGAAAGAGAAAGATATGAAACGTTTGAAAATCATAATAGAAAAAGAGGAAACATAAAGAGAAGCCAAAAGGAGAATTAAAGTATTGAAGAGGAAGAAGAGGCAAAACAGTAGAATAATGAGAAGATTAAAAGAAGACATGACAAGGAAAGATTATGGGAAATAAAGGAAGGGTAGAAGAAAAAACCCAAGAAGTGTAGAACGAATAGTGTGGAAGACAGTGGGAATAGCAGCACAAATAAAGCCGGCGAATGAGTAGAGGAACATGCAAGGAAGAGATATGAAGAAGCAGTTTAAGAAAGAAGATGGGTAAAAAGTGGAGAGAAACTAAGAAGCAGAAAGAAAGACTAGGAAAGTGAGACGATAGTACGAACAAGAAAAAAAGCAATATGTGTGAGGAGAAGAGCAGAAGACACAAAATGAAAGGAAATGGCGAAAGGAAAAGAAATGAGGATGAAAATGAAACAGAGCAAGAATCTGAAGAGAAAGGAAAAGTGTGAAAACTGAACTTCATGAAGAGAACTCTCAGAAAGGAGGGGGGGGGGGAATAAAGTCTACAGTTTGAAGTCTACAGTGTGAAGTCTACAGTCTGAAGTCTACAGTCTGAAGTCTACAGTCTGAAGTCTACAGTCTGAAGTCTACAGTCTGAAGTCTACAGTCTGAAGTCTACAGTCTGAAGTCTACAGTCTGAAATTTACAGTCTGAAGTCTACGGTCTGAGGTCTATAGTTTGCTGCTTATAGTTTGAGGTCTATAATCCAGTCTTAATTCTGAAATCTGATGATTTAATCCTGTCTTCTAATGTCTAAAATTAAGTTGTAGCTATTTCGCTTGACGCCATTCACTTGTAGAATGATATTACATGTGCTGGATTCCTCAAGAGTGAATAAGAAATGTTGCAGCGATCCATAGTGCGATTCAAAGTGCATTTTGAAACGAAATTAGGTTACCTCATCCTTGTATTTGTCCCGCACAGGCACGTACCGTTATAATAGCTGGCGATAAGGCATTTGATTCCGCTCGGACCGCAGTGTCGCACGCTTAAATGCACCGGTATACTTCATCTGACGGGTTAAATGGCCTTTGAGGCGATTCTCGAAAAGAACATCAATTTTTTGTCTAATTGCATAGCCATCTCGTACAGGTTGGTAAGGTCTTGGACGTATTTGGTACATTTTCTCGAAAGTGCATTTGTTTGGAGGCGTCATACAAGCGGATACAACATGCTCAATTTGTGGCTCGAGTAGGAAGCACGTGGAAATGCTCTAACCATGTACGAGGAAGTAACGTTACATTAATTGCGTTTAATCTAATTTACCGCGCGCGCCAAGCTAATTTTCCGCACTAGGACGCGGCCGGCTGTTTTTTTTTCGTCTGCACTACGACGGCCGGCGTCCCATTATGCAGGCCGAAAGGGTTCGCTTTAACCGGGTCTCCGGTCCGTGGGGATTCGCAGTTCGATTTCAACTTTTTCCGTTTCGACGTGTTCGGCTCGAGGAATAAAAGAAGCGCAAACTAATCAGGAGTTTAAAACCGGGCGGCAGATTTGCATGCCTGCATCGGGGAGGAAAAAACGCGATTTGCATGATTGGAACGAAGACATGGGAGACGTCGAACGTGCGATTTACATTTGTAATTATAAATTCGGCAGCAGCGCGCGCCCGTGTTCGATGGAATTTGACGAGCGGATTACGTTCCGCGACATCCCGTAACGATGACACGCCAATAAAAAAATTACAACCCGATTGTAACGCGATAATGAACGCTAATTTATTCTATCGCGAAAGCTGGCGGTGTTTGCCTCTATTTGTTCGAAGGTTTGCGGTTTGAAAGTAAGGAAGTAAGGGGTGCGGCCGACGAAAACGATTAGAAAGTCTTGATACAAATTCCCTATGGAGGAATTAGAACGAAAGGAATTAAAGAAAAACATGTGCAGGTCTCTAGTACCAATTTTTGAGGCTGCCGCATAGCCATCTCGTACAGGTTGGTAGCGTCAGGGTCGCTCATGGTGATTTTGTTTACTAAGTTGGCTCATATATCGGGCTTTTAAAGAAGATAAAAGGTAACGACGTAGAGTAAATGAGCAATTTTGGTAATTTGGGATACAATCACAAAATTATAGAAAAATTGCAAATTTAATGCGCGGCTCCCCTAAATTTAACGCTAAACTGCTTATGGTCGACCACCACGTCTATTGCTTTCACCCAAATGAATTCGTTCTCGAAGAAGAAACTGTTCAAACCTCAATTGAGTTTTACTGTTTTTTCGATCATGTTACTAAATTTTTAATAGAGAAGCTTATGGTCTGACTCGAATCACTGACTGAAGCCTGGTATCAGTCTAATTCAACATCTCGTTTTATTAGACTCACCGTAAATTAAATCAAATAAATGCACTATGAGGGTAGTTCTTTACCATTGCAACACAATAACCACAAATGAAAACAAAGCCTACAATATGAATGGATTAAAATCCGTAGCGCAACAAAGGACCTCACGTGTGATTGGCACATCAACTTAAATCAAACATAAATATGGAAACGGGGGCTGCGTTAGAGGCCCGCACTCATGAAATATGCAAACGCATTTGGCTTATGAATCGTAATTCGGGGCTGTAAAAGTGCAATATACGAAATTGAATTTTAAAACAATATAATATAAGTCGACGCATCGAAGAATCCCTTATGGGGTGGTGCACTGTATTTTATCACCTGCAACTTTCCTCTCCACGAGAATTTATCACCCTCTCGTTACTAAGTAAGAAGTTTTATGATGCAACATCAATTTCTTCGCAAAGTATACTGCCAGGGAGAAAAAGTTATATTGGGGTAAGAAAGAGATACTTCCGATTTTATCAATGGCGCCCCGTCGAGATTTATCATGTTCTAAAAATAATTCGCAGCCAATGCTGACCTCTTTTTACGGTCTGGTTTTGTGTGGTATTTGAGAGGTGTCACATCTACTTTATTGACGAAGTACATGTAAATTGCCCCGCCCACAAGCACCTATGCAGCTAGCTCAATTAAATCCAGGAACTAACATAATCCGTCGAGAATACGGAACGATTACAATTTTTCTAGGGAACATCCGAAATCTTACTACGAAGAATCTCAATAAGGCGTTTGTTAAATTTGAGAAAATTGAGCAGCCTTGACCAACTCCACTATTTCAAAGAATTATGTTACAAATTGTTATTTAAAACACCTAGCATAGCCCTGGGTACCAACTGAATTTCTAGGTCTTAGTTTGGGAGCGATTAATCAATACCACGCAACAAGCGATCGATTAAAACAATTAAATAAGAAAATTTTAATTATCTTAAAGTGCTAATAATCCAAAATATTTGGTTGTAACTGCGATTATCATTAAATGACGCACACAGAAACACAAAAAGGCAGTTGACGTCCTCGAAGAGTGAGCCCATCAAGGTCCGCTCTCCTTCTTTTCGTAAATTGAAGAACCTTGGTTTATTTCTGATTAACGAATAGACCATGGATACTGCGCCACCTACCTACCTGTTTAAGAACACCCTGCATGAGCTCTTTCAGGAGCTGTCCACCTCCTCGCACATATATTCTCCTGATACAAGATTTCTTACCTAACCTAACTAGCACTCGAACCTAACCTCACTGATAATTCGAATTAAACATTCACTTCAAATGTCCACCACCAAAAAAGCCACGATTCACGTCTTCCTTGTTATTTAAAACATTCTTCCTCCTTTCCGTTTCCACCACCCAGAACACCAAGTGAACTTCTGGGCAGTTTGCACAAGACATTTTTTTAATGCTTCTGGACAAAACTTCGTCTAATCCCTACTTTCAAGAGGAAATTGAACGTGATTTGGAATTCTTAGCAAATCTGGTAGTATACCGACGAAGACTTGCACTCGGATCTCGAGCTGTGTGCGAATCCTTTGATATCAGGTTTCAGGTGTAAATAATCACATTCCCAACATCAAAAATCTTCACGCTTCCAAGGCCTAAAGGGATCAAAAATCTCATTATGGGCATAAAGTTAAAAATCAAAGCTCTTTTACAGTAATAGGTAAAAATAGTCCTAGGGCTTGATCCTTTCTGCCTGCAGAGTAAAGACAAAAACCAGTAATGGTCGCTTATTTGTTTCAGGAATTGGATCCTATCAAAGGGCGGACGGTGTAACCCGAGCGATTGCGCATACTGGCATTATCGACCAATCGAATTTAAAGGTATGTCAACATCAATAAAGTCATAAAAGTATTGAAAATTTGTGCTAGTAAAGCTCTGGTGCAGGACTCGCCATTAATTTTGAGGTTTTCGTTCACTCTTTCGCTACCATTGCGGTCGTTTCTTGCCGTTCTGAGAATAACAGAGTTAGGTCTATGGTAGATTTTTACATTACAAAGTGCTCTATAGTTACACTCATTGAAAAAGATCAGAAGTCTTGATTTTTTAATCTACATCAAAATATTACACTCGTGGTGTGCGGCTCTCCTAAACGGCCATAGTTCGAATCATTCCAGAAGTTTTTTCAGTTGGCGTTGGAGTAGCTAGAATTCAATTGGATAGGCACTCAGGGTCTGAGGACATATGTCACGCACATTCAATCGATTGAAACAAATTAAATTTAAAAATAGAGTTTTAATTACCTTAAAACCTAATAATCGTAACATCCAGTTATAATTTGATAATAATTTGTGGTTATGAACTGTACACGTTGAGATAAAGACGCTTGAACTCGCGCCAACGACAAAGAAATTTGGCAAATTATGGGGAAGCGTGCGCGGATGCGGACCCTAATGATGATCCAAAACAAAATCAGTAGTTACTCGCTTCAATGCACCACGCCATCACAACTCGCTTATCAAATTATAGCATTGTCTCGTTTATTATACTTGAAGCGTATCGTGACGAATAAGATGAACTTAGTTCCGTGAAAAACATTTAGTTATACAGAGCGATAAGAGGCAGTTACGTGTCGTCCTCTAAAAAAAAATTTTAACTAAAAAGTGGGCGGCATTTGAACCTTTTAATTCCCACCTTAAGCCTAGCAATGTCTTCAACGTCCTCCAAGATTCAAAGAATCCATCACCAAAAACTTCCAGAAATGCACTTTTCTGGCAGTTTTTTTCTTCCAATCGACAAGACAAAGTGTTCCTGGTTGTTTCAGAAGCGCCTCTAAGGTTGAAAATTTCTCATCCTTCCCTACCTAAAAACTCCACCTAAGACCTCCCAAGAACTTTCCTAATGTCTTCCTCTAAATTAGCCACAATAACTTCCCGAAATCTTTGCGAAACCTTCTCATTACCTCCCTCCCAACACAGTTACCACAGCTTTCACTTCAGATCTCCTTTTCATACGTAGCTCTTCAGGTCACAAAACTGTGTTCCAGCCTCCGGTTTTTAAGTTCTCTGCTGACGCCTGTTAGAGCGTTACCCTACAAGATATTAAATTCTTGCTGGTACCATTTACGTTTCTTCTCGAGGTTGGAAGTAACTCTGATCTTTCCAAGGCCCTCCAGATCTGTTCGATGGTACTCTACCCGGAACCCTTTTGTAAACAGCTGGTTCTCCCGAGTCTAAATGAAATCTGTAGTCTGAAAACAAAGGATTATCACCTGAAGCATTAAGGTATCAGAAACTCAAACAAGCTCAAATCGTTAGTCTCATCTCAGAAATGAGAAGCAAAACATTTTTTTGAAAGGTGTTTGGTCAAAAATAAGCCTACTGTGTGAAACCCAAGGGTAAATATAGAATATAAAATCTATCTTTTTAATCTCTAAACCGTGAAAAACGTAGCTCAAGACTTTAACAATTGAAAGACGGGGATTTAAAGCATTTCCAAAAATTGCAAATGTGCTGCGTGGCTCCTCTATATGTATAGCGGGTGTGGGCATGATCAACATCCTCAATCGAGTGAGGGACTTTTTTGCGCTGCCTTTTTCAAAAATTCAATTTATTTGTTTATCTAAGCCGAAATGGTGTAATCGTCATTTTGTCGAAAAGGTTCACAAAGTGTTTTAACAGTATGTGAGGGGCCACTCGTACTAAACTACCCGTCACGAAATTCCAATCATCCAAATTACCACAAATAATAGAGTGAATTTAGAAATAAAACAAAAATAAGTTAATTAAAGCATCTGCACTTGGTCGACTGCAAAATACATCTCCACAAGAAAAACAAGCTCCTTCATTTCGATTTGAAGAGCTCGCCATCAAATTTCATTATAGAGAGCTCCCTTCAGTTTCGCAGACAACAAATACGTGATTTCCGTACTTCCCATTTTCTAAATAACTACTCGAAACAAAAGGATGCTCGCCGGAAAACTGTTGATATTTCGGACGGACTCTTCAGACATCGGAATGTAATACCTGGACTCCGTGAATGCCCGACTTGTTTAAGCAGACGACGGCAAGACAAATCCCGTAACATGAACGGAGAAAATTAAAAGACGGAAGTGGGATTACGTAAAATCGTATCGAATTTATTTTATCTGCACGTTTCTGAGTTATTTAATCTGCCTTCGGATGCTGTTCGGGATGAAAGGGAGATAAGCGATGAAATCTTTTTCGTTTATCGAGCGATTTTTAAGTTCGAGTGGCCAGTTGGTGATAAACTACTTTAATGGGTATAATTTACACAAATAATCTTTATGGGAACGACATTACCCGACGTTTATCGCGAGCTTTCGGGATCCATTAAAATAATTATTCTGATGTTACCAATCTGTACGGCAACGCTCGTCGATAACCATTTGCATCGTATTTTCGGCAAACAGCATCGAATTGAATTGTAAATGACAAGCTAGCGAAATAACTGTAAGCCGCGCAGATCTTAAAATGCTAACCGAAGTGGATTCTGTACATTTTCAAATAAATAAAATACCTCCCTCGTTCTGCCATCGCAATAAAAGGACAAATTTTTGTTGGAACAATGGAATATAAAGAGGGAAGCTTCGCCGCGACTGAAATTCTGTCTCTCTGAATGTTACCATTGCAATTAAAAGCGTTTAATTCTATGTCAGGATTTCCTACCCTTTCCGTGCGAACGCAAAAGTCGGAGCGACGAGAAATGAGTTAAGTAGGGCAAAAAAATTCGAAAACAGTTTTTAAACTTCATGCCGTTTTTAAATCTCTCAGAACGTAAAGCCCTTTAAAAGCATTTACTCATAAAAGGCTTTAGTAAATTTATCAGTACCTCCATCCCAATTTATTTAGATTGAAACATGTCCCGGTAATTAAGTTGCCTCTCGTGCCAGGTTAAAAAGAATCCGTAAGGCTTGAGTGGACACGTTATCAATAGTTAATTGAGGGTCGGATTCCGTTGTGGAAACCTCGTCCGTCGAAATGAGGAAAATGGAATATTAAAGGAGACCTCCTTTCTACGAAAATATTGCCTCCTCGCTAAATAAAGTGTCAACCGCAAGCGGGCGAAATTCATATTATTTTGGTTTATGTCTTTTATGTAAAACTGTGGGCAATATTAACAGTTCAATTGTCTTACCATCTATGAACAGTCCACTTCCTCGGAGGAGAGTAGAATTATCTCCTGATATTGTAAGCTTTCGTCTGACACCAATATTACCCAATATGATTTATTAGTTGGATAACGTGATGTTTAATTCTAAAATTTACCCTTCTGTTATCCTAATACAAGACATAACACACGGTAAATTTTATATCTTCATGCGATTATGTGGCCCTAATACCACAGTCTTTAAATATGAATTTAAAATAGGAAATTTCGATCAGGTCAATATAAAACATGAGGTGTGTGTTTCTGTGATCCTGATAAGCATAAGTATTTCCCTTTAACGTAACAAGGTGCTATTAAATTATCCTGATACAAGACGCATTGCATACGAAGATGCCCATAAAATTATACATTTTCATGCGATTATGTGATCCTGATACGAATAAAAACATTCAGTCAGGACGGTATAAGAGATAAAGAGTCTGTGATCCTGATTAAGATAGGTACTTCACTTAAACGTAACAAAGTGCTACGAAATTATTACCTTGTGACGTACAAGACTTTACTTCCATCAGGAGAGCATAAGACGTAACGGGCGTCTTTCTGAAAACCGGATACAAGACACTATAACGTAAAAAGGTGCTACTTTTTGACGTACAAGGCTTTACTACGTTCAGAAGAGTATAAGACGTAAAGGGGGTGCTCCTGTGATCCTGATTCATAAGTTTAAAGCAATCTTCAAGAAAGATCAAGAAGGTTCTAAAAGTTTCCAATTTGATACCCGATACTACTAGAATTTTAAGACTGTTGTTGTTCTAGACCCTTTTAAGGTCATCCTATTTACCATCCCCAGGACTTTCTAAAAATCAGAATCAGGCTTTTGCTTTCCAATGTTTCTTTACATATTTTTGAATCATCCTTTCAGATCCCTATAGTCCATCTCCATTCTAACACATTCTATTTTTACCTAGAATGTTTATGCATTCTTTTTTCCAGTTTGTTCCAGTTTCCAGTCTACAGTTTCCAGGCTACAATTTCCAGTCTACATTTTCCAGTCTACAGTTTCCAGTCTACATTTTCCAGTATACAGTTTCCAGTCTACAGTTTCCAGTCTACCGTTTCCAGTCTATGGTTTTCAGTCTACAGTTTCCAGCCTACAGTTTCCAGCTTACAGTTTCCAGCTTACAGTTTCCAGTCTTCAGTTTCCAGTCTACAGTTTCCAGTCCACAGTATCCAGTCTACAGTTTCCAGTCTACAGTTTCCAGTCTACAGTTTCCAGCTCGGTTTCCAGTCTACAGTTTCCAGTCCACAGTTTCCAGTCTACAGTTTCTAGTCTACAGTTTCCAGTCTACAGTTTCCAGTCTACAGTTTCCAGTCTACAGTTTCCAGTCTACAGTTTCCAGTCTACCGTTTCCAGTCTATGGTTTTCAGTCTACAGTTTCCAGTCTACAGTTCCCAATCTGCAGTTTCAAGTCTACAGTTTCCAGTCTACAGTTTCCAGTCTACAGTTTCCAGTCTACAGTTTCCAGTCTACATTTTCCAGTGTACAGTTTCCAGTGTACAGTTTCCAGTCTACAGTTTCCAGTCTACATTTTCCAGTATACAGTTTCCAGTCTACCGTTTCCAGTCTACGGTTTTCAGTATACAGTTTCCAGCCTACAGTTTCCAGCCTACAGTTTCCAGCTTACAGTTTCCAGCTTACAGTTTCCAGTCTTCAGTTTCCAGTCTACAGTTTCCAGTCTACAGTTTCCAGTCT